ACAAAAGATGAATACAAGTCACGTTTGACTTCTGCAATTACAAGAGGTGCTCAAAGTGGTTACCATCAGCGTCCAGACACTTCTGATTACGGTGAAATACTACTCGAGCAATGTTGACCAAAGTGTCCACCTATATACATTTTTTTGGCACCCCTGATTGTGTGTTGTGTGTGTGTGTGTGTACACATCCATACATACACACATACACTATATGTGTGATGGTATTTTTTATTTTCTATTTTATAACGTACTAGCTATGTAATCTAAGGTAATAATTTAATCTGTGAGGTTTTTCTTAGTAAAATGGAGATAATTCTACTTTGTGGGTCATTATTAGAATCCATTGGGATCATCATGCATAATTGGGAAACTAAAAATTTGCAAGTGTTAAGATGGAATTGTTGTTATTGGAAGTCTGACAATTTTCTTGTTCTTGATTCTCAAGTGAGACTCTACCTTTCTAATCACACGTTACCTGTCTCATCTTTCTATATCCAATCAGAGGGACTTTTTTTGAGGCTTAGTCCTCGGCTATTTCATTTTTATCCAAATGTTGTCCCTTGGAAGAATTCATCTATTGTTAGGATTTCAATTAGCTTTCAGTGATCTGACTTCTAAATCTCCATTGTGCCATCATATTTGATAGCTCCCCTTGCTGTACCTATCAAATGTAAAGTCTGAATTTTTATTTCTCTTAGAACCAAGCTTATGGTACACATGAAGTGAATTAAATTCATTGTGTGCCAGGCATTGTGCTAAGTGCTTTACAAAATACTCATTTAACCCTTAACAACTATGAAGTAAGTACTGTTTTATCCCATTACATAGATGGGGGGAAACGAGACAGAAATTAAGTAACTCAGTCCCAGGTCACAGCTAGTAAGTGGTGAAGCTAGGACTCAAACTCAGGCAGTCTGGCTTCTTGAGTCTCTGCACGCACAAGGCATCCTGCATCTTAGGTCCCCGGCTGTGCCTTTCCAGCCCTACCACCACCATTCCAGTCCAGACCCTTCCACCTGCATTGTGTCAATTGACTTCACTCGTGTTTGTTAGCAATCAAAAACCTGTCTGGAGACAAGAAAAGTTAGGTACGTGAAAGAAGTCAGTCAGGTTCGGCCACAACATAGGAAAACACGGAGAGCACCTGGCCTGTCTGAAGAGGGAAACCGCCTTTTCCTCACATGGATGGTGGACTTTGTGGCTGTTCCCGACCCTAAAAACACTACCTGAGCCAGGTGAGACATGTCTGTGGGCCAGAAGTGGGCTACGTGTACTTTAGAGTGGCCACATTGGTATCTATCAGATTAATAGTATTTTTGCCATTTTCTGCTCTAATGTCAACAAAGGCCTAGGGGTTAGTTTGGACTGCTTTTGTCGAGCACCAAAAATGCCATGAGAGGTTAGCCTCCAACCAAGGCTTTCCTGCATCCTGTAGCATTGTTACAGACTCCTACATCTCATTGTTACAAAAGCAGTCTGCTTATTTGGGCTTGTCAGTGATAACCTAAATAGTCCGTTTTCATCCTACCTGCCCGGTCTTGGCTCATATTCTTATCTGAAATTCCCTCCTTTACACTCGTCCTTTTTTTTTATTGTTAGTTTCAGGTGTACAGAACAATGCATACACTCATGTCCTTTAAAATACTTTATTCTTAAAACAAGCTCAGTATATTACAGAAATGCATAAAGAAAACACATCACCTGTCATCCTACAACAGTGTTAAGGGTCAACATTGTTTAGTTTATTCTCATTTTAATTTTTTTCAATTGGTAAATATATACACTTAAGTTTTAACATGTTCAAAATAGGCATCCAATGAACAGTGACTCCCTTTGAATCTCAGTCACCTGGTTCCCCTCACCAGGAACAGCCATTGTTAGCAATTTTGTGTACCTATCAGGGATATTCTATACAGTTACCAACTTTTTCATATTTTTTCCCATAGAAGTGGTAATATAATGCCCTGCCCTTTACTGTTTTCATTGAAAGTGTATCTTAGAAGTTATATCCTTGTATAAAGCAGCTTCCTTTCACAATATTACGTTATATTAGCATCCCACCGCTTGCTTAACCAGTGTCTTGATTGTAATTCTCTGCCCTTACGAATAGTGCTGTATAAATCTGTAAAATGAATTCCTAGAATTGCTATATCAAAGGTGTGAGTGCTTTTACGTTTGCTAGTTCCTGCCTCCTTAGAGATTATTCTAGTTTCTCTCTCACCAGCAAGATATGAGTTCCTGCTTCTCCAACTATTACCCCATATTTAGCCCTTTGGGGCTAAAAAAGGTATGTCTTAGGAATGAGAGTGAGCTTTTTATACATTTAAGTGCTGTTTATTTTTTCTGTGAGCTGTCACTGTCCTTTTTTTCACTTTTTTGGCAGGATGCGGGGAGCAGGATTTGGTTTTTCTTAACCTGATGTATAGAAGTTCTTTAACATGCTAAAGAGATATGCCCATTTCTTTAATAATATTTGCAACGCGCAGTATTTCCCATTGCTTATTATACAATCCAATGATCACAACGCCTGTTGTCATTCTTCCTCTTAACTGCAATGATACTTTCATTTGGAACCTGTCATTTATGGTCCATTACTTTCCGTAAGTATGTTTCTTACTGAGATCAACATCCGTAAGGGGAGGGAGTGTTTATATGTTTCGTTAGTGTTTGCCACACTATGGAGCATAATAATACTGTGTTTGAGTGTTTGGGGCGTGTTTACAAATGAGTTTATGGTGGTGAAACAATTATAGTATTTATATGTTGAAAGGATGGGTATTTGGTATTTTATTGGGTTGTCGGAAACGTCATGACGTGCTTTTTCTGTTTTT